AAAAAAAGATCGAAAAATTCAAAGAATCGCCTAACGTTACGTGTATATTTCTGCACGCCTCGATGTTAAAATCTACCAAAAAAAAAAATCGAAAAATTCAAAGAATCGCCTAACGTTACGTGTACATCTTTGCACGCCTCGATGTTAATGCCAATAATAAGGAAATAATTTGTCGTTGCAATTACGTCGTTCACTGTGCACAGGTTTATAGAAAATCTTCTCTAGAGCAAACTGGCACGCGGAACGCCCAAGCAACAGCGTTTTATCGTCGGGCCGTTGAATCTAAGGATCGTTAACAGGGATCGAGAAGGGGCGGGAAGGTATTTTCAGGTTAGGTAAACTGGTCAGAAATCGAAGCTAATTGGCACGTTGGCTCGGTTTCCCGGCGGATTCGATTTCCACGCGGTTCGCGACGTGTTTCTTCTTTTATCTTGATCCCGACGTTGCGCCGTTCGCGCAACAGGTGCATAATGCCCGAGCTTCGGAACGATTATAATGCATTCGAATACCGATTCGAGGAAGTTTTATCGGGCGTTCGCGCGGAAACGCGCAGTTACGCGACAGGAAAACCACGCGCTATTCCGCTTTTAACTTCGCCTTTCTTCCTTTTTTTCTTTTTTTTTTTTTTTCTCTCTCTCTCTGCTTCCAGGACGTCGAACACGCTGACGTACTGACGGTGGGCTTCGAGCTAGACGGCGTGAAGCGTATCCTGGACCTGAGATTGAACGTTGATCTAATTCCGGTCGGATATCAGCAGCGTCATCAGCACCGGGGCACGTACAAGGTCCACACACCCGCGAACATCGTAAGTACAGTTTTATCTTTTATAGTTTTTCTGTAGTACACGCTTTCTGGCCACCGAATTGAGATCAGAGAAAGTTAATATTCTTGAACTTTTTTTTTTTTTTCTTTTTTTCTCAATGAAATTCGAGGTGAATTTTATTATGATTTGTCTCGTGTTTCTTTACTTTTCAATTTGCTCTGTATCGTGCACCATACGTCGTTAATTTGATGTATGTATTACGTTCTGAATTTACACGAGTCGAGGACAGTTACGCGAATAAATATACGATTGTCTATATTGAATAATTACACGGCGGATTTTTATGCATTTGAAGATGCAAAATAGGATGCATGTAATATGCAAAAGAATATAAAAAACATAAAACCCAAAGTGCAATTCTCTGTATAATGATTAATAAAGGAAGCAATTTTCTATCTGTTTTCTTTCTCCCAAATTTCATTCGCAAAAATGTGAATTTGCATAAAAATAACAGTAAAATTTCTTTCACATATGTGACAGAGTATGTATGCACATTATGTATCTGTATAACATAATGTCGAAGTTGAAAAAAGTCAAATTTCTGTGTGTCGTCTTAATTCATTCGGCGGTCAGAAATTTTATGTTATTTGTACAATAATATCTCCCGATTGCGATGTCCTTTTATTAAAAATGCATTTTCGATAAAACGAAATGATTTATTTCTATTCAACGCGAGAGAAATGGAATCGCGCGATAAGATAAACAAGCGCTAAACAATACTAATTAAAATCCACGACGATGCATTCTTACGATCAATTAAACGCGTAATCTGCGCGTCCCCTTCGCGTGTGAAACTCTTAACAAAATATCGTAAGGTAATCTCGTCTGACATAACAACGCAGTGATATTGAAATGAATAATAATTTGATGGCGAGTGAAAAATTGAAAATTCTCGACATTTTTGTCCGACATGGCAACGCGACATAATATTGAAAAATGAAGAAATGTTGGAAAAATTTTCAACTAAAAGTACTGCAATCGCAACGTCGAAAAATATCCTGCAGTCCTCCTGCTCTGGGGATTGCGAGTCGAGGGTCAGGGCTACAGAAACTAGTTTCTGCTCGATGGAAACTGGAAACGATTAATCAGCGTCTTCGAACGGGGCTTGAAAAGTTCTGGTGGGCATGATATTAAGAGCGGATATTATTTCGTACGTATTTTGTAATTACGAAATTTCCTCGATGAACGATGCTAGAAACGAAATCCAAGTACACTGGTGCAAAGCAACATTGAAATCGATAACAGTGACTCACTACTGTCCAACAGGATACTCTTTGCTATAGAACATAGACGGTCATGGACGTTTCGAGAGTATCGATCACTCTTAAATAACGTTGACGAGCGTAACCGTGGCCAACCCAAACGTTGGTCACGCTTTATCTTTATTTAACCATTGCCTTTGCTTTGACCAATCTTCGATTGGCCTGTTTGGAAAACCGTGTTCGTGCTTGGAAACGTCTTCTCGCGCTGTTGCCGTTTACACTATCACTTTGTAGGTTTATTTCGGGATTTCTCTTTTTTTTTTTCTGAGAACGAGACTTTCTTCTTCGTGTACTTTCTTCTTCAGCTGTTGAAGAGATTGTAGAAAAGCGTGTCAGATGTAGCACCGAGTTTTACATC